AAAAAAAAAACGATTGAGGAAGCTGAAATTCACCAATTCATCAGTGCTGATACCAGTGTTTTTCATGAGTGAGATTTCTTCTTGAGTAAGCTTTTGCCTCGATTGAGCTGGATTTCGAGTATCCACAGGTTCACCGTCTAAAGGTTCTGATTCCTGGCTCTGAATATCCGAAACACGATCAATTGGACTCGGATCATCTGCGTTCAGTTCATCGGAATTTCTAACATCTTGATCGTGATTGCTGGCCGCATTCTGTCCGTTCTCTTCTGAGGATGAACACGCTGCCGGTATCGTTGCTGTTTCCAATGAGCTTGGTTCAGTTCTCACCGCATCCGTATCTTTTTCTTAAATTTCTGAATCGTTGGGAACCACCGAGTAAATTTCAACAAAAAAATTTTGACACTACGGAAGAGCACAAAAACCTTACCCAAGTCGGTAATTGATGTCTGCTCAACGTTCGAAACGTCCTCATAAACACGAGACAGTTTACCGGCAGATACCTGAAATATGCGAATAATTTAATGGCTCTTTCTAAAATACTATACGAGCCCGATGATAATAGTTAATTATGACTGACATCGATCATTTACAATCTCGATACATCTCACGAACCGTGTGGAGAACAAATCAGCGTACGAAATTTTTACGGACTCTTTGCCATACTCAATTTTCTCAACAACCAAGTCCAGATCATGTTAAGTTTGAAAATTTGAACAATTTCAACAACCTCAAAAAGTCCGAACGGTTGATTGAGAGCACCGTCGGCATTGAATCGAAGTTTCTCAATGAGTATCATTCGCTTACGTCCCAGTTCACAAACACGAATATGTTCACCGCCCAATTTCTGAACGATTGCATGACATCCCGACGTTATCATTCCGCTAGCTCGATCTTAAACAACTACTTCACAAAATAATTTGATTTTATCAAAATCACTCTACATTTCAGAACGCATTTTGAACATATTCGTAAGATTACCAAAATAAATTTTTTCAAATGCTAACAAAATTAGTGCAATGCTCATATTTTCTGCATGTCCTAGGTTGCTAACCAACAAGAAGAGACACAGGGAGAATGCGATCTCTCAAACAAATGCAGCATTATCACATATGAGCGAGTGTAACTAATTGAAGCTGTTGCTTGCGTTCTAGCATTATTATGTGCGAACCGAAAGCACAATGTTATTTATTGCTTATTGATAATCATCGCAAGCAAGCACATTAATCTAACCAACAGGCAAAAAACGAAGAGAGCGCTCGGAACGGACTATGCAGCAGCAGTTTAGAACTGAACGTGAACACCAATCAGTTTTAGCAGCAGCAGCACATGTTAATGAGTTCATTCACTAGTGAGTTTCCACTTTTTTTCAAAATGTCAATGATCATATCACATAATTCTCAAAGTTTTGCTTACTAGTTAATCATAACCTTCAGTAACAATAGAAAGCCTGTTCGATGAATGGTGATTCTCAATACAAGTTTGCTCAATACAATTCTCACGGATTCAGTTCATCTGATGACGAATAGAAAATGCAGCAGCAGCAGCTTCATTAGAAGTGCTGTTTGTAACTGTATCCTCTCACATACACGAATGAATAATCTCTGAAAGGCTAACGAATTGCATGAGATTGAATTGTGA